GTATTTATCATAAAATATGTACATTTATTTGAACAGTGTCAATATTCCGTGTGTTTGGATACCACAGTGAGTCATGAAATAATAATAAAAGCAATATAATTAATTGCCGCGAGGTAAAATCGATCGACCACGAGTTATTTTTTTACATAAACTTAAACCACGTGGCCTCGTCAATTAATTTATTATTTTTAGTCCATGACATTATACCTTCAAAACGCAGACATCTTCCAAAGACTTTTCCATTAGATAAATACATCGTAATCAATGTAATACTTGCAATAAATTTCACTGTCTATAAACTTTTTTATGTTAATTTTTTTCTACACTCAGATTATTATAATTATGAGTCAATAATGTTTTTATAATAATTTTCAGTCAACCACTCGTAAATTTACCTTCGTTGTTTATTCTTCTGATATATATTTTTCTCGTAGGTGGTGTCACGCAAGTTATTTATTGATTACTATAACACTGAGATCTATTCGTTGTAAACCACATTAGAGTTATTTAATGACAACTCTATTCTCTTTTTTGTATTATTATTATTCCTTTTTTTTTTTAATATTCTTCGATCGATTGAGCAATAAACCAGTGAATAAAATGTAAATACAAGTGTTCCCACACAATTATACTTTTTGTATTTGAATATTACATACAAATGTATATAAAAATTCCACTGGATTTGGTTCGGTTGTTATTTACTATTGTATCCGTCACCGTGTTATAATAAACACCAAAAACAGGAAATGAATTTAACTAAAAAATAAAATGAAATTATTACTGTCATTCAAATGATTTTAATTTAAAATAATAAATAATAATAATAATAATATTAAAAAACCTGATTATTTCAAACGAAATATAAATCCTCTTGATATTTTATCGCAGAACATTAACGTTCACTTAACTTAATATAAATCCAATTGTTAAAGTGATGAAATTATCGATGATACTTTACACGTGATGAATGGATTTTATTTATCATACTTGTACCCTCAGTGCAAAATAATACTTTGTTTACGTGTAACGTTATTAGAAATAAAAATTCCATTTTATTGTGCTGATAATTTTCCTTCTCTTTGCAATAAATAGTCCCGCTCAATCCTTTCTTCTTTTATTTATGTATTTTTGTTTTTGTTTACTGTACATGTAATGGAGAGTGACTCAGAGTTCTCGTGAGCAGAAAATAAACGTTGCGGAATCATCCTGCATCCTGAAACGACCACCAGGAGAACAAGGAGTGTTGGATCCGCGTCTTAATATGAACGAACAGGAACAGTAAAGGTAATCGTAATATAACAACAACAACCACCACTAACTCTTTCGTTTTTTCTGTTATTCTTTTCTACATACATATATTTCTTCCTTTCACTGATCAACGTCACACTCCGGCATTCTCCTTTACGCTTTGTTTTTGTTATAATTTATTTTTGAGCATGAGATAAAAAATCCAGTCGAATTGCCCGCGAAAATTTAAATAAATTAAATGGTGAAAAATTTTAAGTGCTATCAGTAATCAGTTTAGAATACCAGAAGAATAAAATCCAGATTAAAAACAGAATAACAAAACTTTAAAACTATGCTACTCCGCGTAACTCCACTCGAAAACAGACTCACTGCTGACTGGTCTGGTGTGGTAGACTCGTGCGCGGCTGGTACCCGGTTTAGAACGATACCTGTCTGTGCTACCCCCTCTATGCGGTCAATGCTCGTCCCCACCAGGTACTAAATTTACTTTACTTAAAACTAACGTTGTATGAGTGTAGTACGAACTTAAACACTTATGTATGCATAATATACATATTACTACTGTAGTCTATAACTATAACTGCTGAATACCCGACCTGCTCTGATCCCCCTCCAGACCACCTGGTAACCAGGTGAATATTGTGCCATATGACTATTACTCCCACACCGCAAAATAGCTCCGCAGTTTGTATTTATACAAATTGTATCATACATGTAATGGATATGAAGCATAAAACTATCACTACTGCATTACATCGTGGCTTTCAATTTAGAGAAGTATGCGATATAGTAAATTCACTTTTTATTAAGAATAATTATGATAATGAGATGATTAATGGAATGACATCTAATTAAATGACATTAGAAGTCAAATAATGAAAATTAATTTTGCATGACAATAAAGTTAGCAGTCACTTGGTAATTTTTTAATTTTATTTGACAAAAAAATTTATTCCAAAAAATTATTTTTAAAAAATTGCATTTATTATTTTTTTAAATTTTTACATATCAATTTTTTTTTGACATAATTTATTTGTTAAAAAAATTCTAAAAATTATTAAGTATCTGCTGAGTTAAATTTCGTTAATTTAGCAGATATTTGATAATTTTTGTAACAATTAAATGATGGCAAAAAATCATAAAAAAAATTGACATGTAGAAATTTTAAAAAATTAAAAATGCAATTTTTTTAAAATAATTTTTTGGTACAAATTTGGTGTTTGTTAAAAAAATAAAAAAATGGTGAAGTGACTGCTATCTTTAATGTCGTCAAATAATCAGTCGAAAAATTTTCATCTTCAAATTTTGTGCATTGATAAAAATATTATGATCCAAAAAAAAATCTGACCCAAGAAAATTACTTTTAAGAATTTCATTCGCTTGGATTAAGCAGACAAATTCTTGAATCAATTAAAATTTACATAAACACAAAATACAAAAACTTTTTTGATTCAAGATCATCTAATTTATAAAAATCAATTTCTTGGTTTATGATTTTTTCTCTTAAATGAAGATTATTATTTTTACAGCGCGCTTGAATTATTTGTAAAGTTTTATGTCAAATAAATTTAAATAAGAACCATAAATTTTAAAGAATTTTGTTTTGGTTGAATGTGCATGCACATATTTAAATATATTTACTTTCAGTGGGTATTATAAAAGTTTTAAAACAAAAGATAATATTTAAATTACTTGTAAAAACTTTTTGCAATTTTTTTTGTAGATGGTAATTTGGTAAAAAACTCAACTACCCAGTATAGTCACGTATGACTAATATCACCCAAATATATTCGTTTTTTAAAAACTGTTATGTGTACGCAAGTGGTTGAGAGAAGATGACTAATATTAATTAAATATTTTTGAATAATACAATGTCATCGAATTTTATCTAATAATTTTATACTTAGAAATTTTTTTACAAGTATGTTTTTGATTGAGAAATATAATGAAAATACTAATTGTTTCAGTTTAAAAATTTTTTATTTTTGTTCTGTTTGTTATCTTTTCCTGAAACCGATAGAAATATTTATTATATTGTATTTTGAAATAATTTTTTTATTGCAGTATAATGTTGCCTTAAGATTGTTATTTTTATTTAATAAATATAAAATTTTAACTCAATAAAACAACAACAGCTGAAGAAATAGAAAAAAAAAAGATAACACCAAAATAATTAAAAAAAAATATTTTGTATTAAATACTTTAGATAGTTTTATTAAATTATTTAATATTTCTTTAGAAATATATTATATTTTGTACCAGTTAAGAAATAAGTAGCAATAAGTATAAAACACCTGTAAATAAAAATAGAAAAAAAGTCATGACAGTATTGACACGTGCTTGACATACAGCTGAAAACATCTTAAAGACAGATTAACATGAAACACTCGTATAGGTGTGAAAAAAAACAGGTCAATAAAAAAACTGGTAGTGATTATTGGATTTGAAATTACTTTTTCTGTTAATCAAGTAAATTACTTTCATTCAAGACAACCAATGGAATCATTTAATAAAATATTATCTGATGAATACACGGACGAATGAATTATAGATGGTTATGAAAGCGGCCTTTTACATTTATTATCATTTGGTAATTAATTACTGGTACTAATGTCAGAACTTCTTTCAATATTTTAAGGCTTTTAAATTAGTTGACTCTAAATTTAGTGGTAACATTTCAATTAAAAGTTGAAAATTTAAGCATTTCTTCTTTATTTTGATTAATAATCTATATTATTAAGAGAATAAGAAAAATTTTGTGTTCAGGATAGTCACATGACAAAATTGGTTTTTTTTTTTTGTGAAATTTAGTGTCATTGCAAAGGTCTTGATTTTAATTTGTGCCTTTTCATAATTTCATGTCATTCTCACCGATAGTCAATTTATGATGATAAGTATTTAGGCTGATCTATCTCTAGATACATATAATTAAGAAATTACCTTGTATCTTGTGAACTATTGGTATTTTTAAAGATATAAGCTCACCCCGACATTATATTCATCCAGACCTTTCATTTGAGTACCCACATCAATTTTTCATATATTTTATATATATTATATATATGTATATATGAAAAATATATCAAAATGCATGTGGGTACTCAAATGAAAGCTCTTGACGAGTGTAACATCGGGATGAGCTTATATCTTTAGAAACGTCAATAGTTAATAAAGTACAGTGCAATTTAACAAAAGTCATTATTTTTAATAAAGTAAAATTTTATTTATTTATATAATTATAATTGTTAATACAAGTCACGGCAGTTAGATAATGATAGCAAGGTTGCTAGTATTAATATTAGTGCGAATAAGTTAAATTGTTCTGGTTAGATATGAGCGGGAATAAAATTTAAATTTAAAGATCGAAATAACTATGGAAACGATTGGATGCTCGTGGCAACGAAAAATAAAAACAGTTTTGTTAGCCCTGCTGTTCAGCTGTATAGGGTTACAATATAAGTAGCAGATGTCCCTTTAAAAATGAACGCGCATTGAGGGAGAATTGTAACACTCAATAATAAGGAAGTACTCTGATGTCTTCCGGGAAAGTATAACAAGGCAGATGCAGTATTTCACGTTTTAAATTTTTATCCTAACCTCATAATCAACCGATTTTTAAAGGTAAAATTAACACAATTGATGCTCGATTGATTAAAAAATTCATTATTATAATAATCGTTAATTGTTTACAAATGATTTATTTATTATTTTTTTAGTTTTTGCCTTTTTAATTAGCAATTAAATTATTCACAATGGCGTATCGAAAACAACCTATTCAAGATGAATTGGAGCTGGAGACAATGGCAGAGGCTGAGTTATCAAGACTAAAACGTCAATATCGAATGATGGAAAACGATCGTACTACTTATGGAGAAAAAGCGCGTTTGCAACTTCGTAATCAACAGAATATGATTGAACGTTTAGAATTTGAAAAATCTGAGCTTGTATTGGCTATAAAAACTTCAAAATCTGAATCTAATGCAAAAAAAGACGAAGAAATGGATGAAAAATTGAAATGTTTGCTAGTCAAGCGATCAAAATACGTCAAAATGATAAATAATGAAAAACAGCAGATTGATGAATTGCAAGAACAAATAATAAAGGTATCAAAGGAAGTTGTAGGATTAAAAATGAAAATAAGAACAGATGCACAGTCACGAGAAATAACTGAAAAGCATCATCGTATGATTGCAATACTTGAGAATCGATTAGACGTTGCGACAAAGCGATTTAATGTTGTGGTAGCTGAGAATGCACAACTTCGTGCTCGGATTGACAGTTTACTTAAAGAACGTGCTCAATTCAATATTCTTTGGGCTAAAATGATTGGTCAATTGAATACTGGTAAAATGGTAATCAGTGATATTATCGAACAAGCAACAATAACATTTAATCAACGTGACGAAGAGCTAAATAAAATTTATGCTTTAAGAGAACGGTATGAATAGTCTGCATGATTACATTTAGCATAATTTTTTAATGACTTTGATTTATTTTATTAAAAATTATTTTATAGAGGTACAAGAGATTTGAAAACTCATACCTCAGAGATGTGTGAGTTACAACGTACGCTTGATAATGAATTGAAGTTGCAAGAATTTCTTGGAATTAAAGGACAGTACCGAGAAACTGCTGATTTAAATGCTAGAAAAGAAGCTGAGCTTCGTACAAAACAAGAAGAAAAAGAAAATAAAATAGCGTCATACAGTGAAATTTTGAATTTAATTAAGCAATTTACTGGTCAGGCTAAGTAACACATTTTTTTTAAATTATTAATAAATGTCAGTAATTTGAGTAATAATATGTAATTTTTAATTTTAGGTGAAAATGACATAGATAATCTGTCGACGTATTTTCTCAAGCAAGAAGAAGAAAATTTTGCGTTGTTCAGTTATGTTAATGAACTTAATGATGAATTAGAAGGTCTACAAATACGAGTAGCACAATTGCGAGATGATATCGACGAAGCACGAGCGTTAAATGCTCGTCGAGGTTTCCAGCAAGCTGAAACGCTTGAAAAAATTGCTAAAGAGTTAGAAGAACAGGAAAAAAAAGCAAATGATGCTGAAGAAAATTTAGTTAAGGTTGCTATTATTTATTTATTCAATTAAGGGGGTATTCTGTAATTTTTTGAAGTGCCGTAAAAAACAGGCAATCAAAATTTTTAGTATCCATTTTTTTATAAGTTTTTTATTGATATTACAAGAATACAGAAAAAAATAAAAAAAGTTGAAAATTCAAAAAAATTAGCAGCTGATGAAGTGGGGGGGTCTCAAAAAATTGACACCCGACCATGCCCACGATTCCAACCCTCCTAGCAATCTGAAATAAAAAAATAAAAAAGATTATTAATTTAGAGTAATGTCGCTATGGCATGAACTAGTGAAAAGTTGAAAAAAAATTTTTTCACAAAATAGCGACTGCCTGAAAAAAATAAATTTTTTTTACTACTTTTTTTGACTTTTTCGAATTTTTTAAAAATAGTAAAAATTTAAATTTGGGCATGACCCTAGTTACCTGAAATTCATTCTTCTAGACTAGAATACTCCCTTAATTAAACTATTATTGTTATGGTTTTAAATTCTTGAATTTCTTTTTTTAGTGTAATGAAGTAATAGAAAAATTACTCGAAGGAATAGATGCACTTTTTCATTCAATTGGCTGTGATAATTCTTCAATTTTAAATCTTCTTGGTGACAATACTCACGTTACAATGAATAACATCATGCTTTACTTAGGTATAATTGAAAAGAGAATAACTGAAATGCTTAACAAGGTCCACTGGGTTGATGTGAATGGAAAATCTGATACTATTAGACTAGATGAGGAACGTAAACCAAAATTAAATATTCCTGTGTTATCTGAAATAGCTCCTACCCAACCATGTTCTTTGTGAGTTCCTTATAATTATAAGTTATTCCCATCCAATTTCCTCATTACTATATTTAAATTTTCCTTGATTATTAAATGATCCCTTGGGTTAATTATAAATAACAGGTGTGTTGAAAAAGAAGTGCTCCAATCTGTATCTGAAGGTTTAGAAGTTCCGTTAACACGTCAAGACATCAAAGAGAAACTTTATACAGCTCAATCAATTAATGATAACTCCCAGCTATTACATAATGTTTCTGGATGTTACTTACCAGCAGCCCGAAAAATTATGCAAAAACGCTATCAATAAATTTTTATAATTTATTTATTATTCATTACTGTAAATTGATAGCTGCGTTTTTGTTTTTTTTTTTTTTTTTAAGCGTAATAGTTTACATTCCCACGTTTTATGAAATATTGTATAATTTAACAGAGAATTGCGACGTTAAAACTCAGACAAAATTTGTAATTTAACTTGAATTTGTTTCGATAATTATTTTCATAACAGGTTTTATATTTTTAGGAAACAATTATTCTAGTTACTATAATAACTATAAAGTTAAAATTGTACAATTATATAACAAACAACACTTAAAAAAAAAAAAAGTAACAATTATTTAAATTACAAAAATATTTAATGATCTTAAGTAATTAATATTTATTTATGATTATTGCCATTTCTTAAGAGTTTTATTTACTTTAGTAAAACGTTTTTCAGCAATTCTCACAATTCTTTTCAGCTCTACAATAGTTCGTTTAATGTGAACTAATTGATTTTCAATGTCATTTTTTGATACGTCTATTGGAATTCCTTTGCGTTTGCACATCTGAGTATAAAGATTCCAGCATGCCAGACGAATTCTAATCAATTCAAGAATTTTTTCAGCTGCGATGGATTTTATTCGCGATACTGCAGTTTCCCACTTCAATGCTTCTACTTTAACACGATCGTATCGGCTTTGTAGAGTTGCAAGTTGATTGTTCAGACTAATCAACGTGTGACCTTTTCCTTCAGTGATTCGTTGCTAAATAAAATAGAAAATTATAAAATGAGAATTGTTAAATTTAAGTTTAAATCACAAATATTTTAATTATTTACATACTTTTTGATATTAAATAATACACGGAGATTGTACGGAAAATTTCCTAATTACATGTAAATTATATGACAAATAATAAATAAGTATTGTGAGAAAATTAGTAATTGTACAGCCAAAAACTGTAACCGTGATTTTATTCAAACGATAAATTTTTTAAAAAAAGATAACCTTGACAAATAGATTTTAAGTTAATCACTTATATCTTTTAGTCGATATAAAAGAATCCTTATAAACGTGAATATAAGTTATGAATGTTCAATCACTAGAGGATTTAATAACGCCCGGTTCTTTAAAAGCATTTAAAGTTATTATAAAGTAAGTAAGCCTATTAAAATATTTTAATTCTAATAATATTTAAAAATTGATAAGTTTTTCATATTTGTTTTAGATAAAATAACTATTCTGTTCAGTTTAAATCAACTATTTAAGTCTAAAAAAAAAGTTAGTTGCTGTTTCAACATTTTATTTTGGTTCCAATGGTTTAGTTTATTTAATTCATTGAATAGAGTGAGAATGAAAAGTAGTAAAAATTACCAAAACAAAAAATTCATTTTATTATAGCAATTTTTTACTAGTCTCAAAAATCTTTAAAACTATGAGCTATCACAATATATATTATCTATACCGAATAATCCCAGTTGTAGAGCAAGTATGATATATTTTTGTTCAATTCACAATGACTGGATTGTTTCTAAAACCTTTCGCATTTAAAACTTATACTAAAGACATTTAAAAAACGCTTCATTAGTTTCTGAAAATAACACAGTGGCTGATGACTCTTATACTTTTTCTTCACTTTTTAAACTCTTTACCAACTTAAAAAATAATGTTTTTTATGAATATAAATTGAGTAAGCTATTGTGAAAAAATTAATTCAGAAAAAAAATATTCTTTTAAACTATATTAAAAAGTTTGAATTTACTTCTGCAAAACGTTAGAGAATCATTCTAATAATTATAAAAATTATAGCAAAAAATTGAATACCATTTCGATGCCAATTTCTTCTAGAGTATGAAGATTTTTATCCTGATGTTCAGCCACATTTTGTCTCACTTCCATTAAATTTTCGTATCGGTTAAAAATCTGACTGATTGATTGAAACTCTCCAATTTCATTTACAACTGATTCTAAATAATTTTGGGCTGGTCGATAATCTTTAACATACTTTTGCATTTTATCACGAATAGCAGCCAGATATACAAGTTTTTCCTCAAGTTCTGCAATCTAAGAATATATAGAAGTAATTTATCAATGTTGGTAAAATCAATTAATTTATTTTAAAAAATTACTTGATTTTGATATATTTTCTGACAATCTTTTTCATCATTGATTTTTCTCTGAGCACGCAAACGTTTTTCATGATTTTCCTTGACGAAATTATCAAATTTTATAAAAGATTCCCGTAATAAAGATTCTTTACGTCTCATTTCAGCCCATTGTTGATTCATAAATTTTCGTTTTTCTTCATACTCTTCATGCTTTGCATCAAGTTCTTTTTCATTTTGTGATAACTCCCTACACGCTTTTAATAATTCTACTTCAGGGCCAGATTTTGCAACATCGAATTCTGGATATTTTCTGATGAAATAAAAAAATTTTTTTTAATTAAGAATTTTTTTTCTATTACTAATATAAATTGTTTATTCACTTTATCTGGTCATTCTCAAATTTTGAGTGAAAATATTCTGTAATTAATTTTTGTGAGTCAGTACTAATTATTGCTCGGTGAATTAAACTTTTTGGATTTTTCTTCAAAATCTCCATATTATCTGAAAAACAAACTAATGAGTTATTACTAATTTTAAAAACAAAAATATATTTTATATTTTTTTTAAATAATTTTTTTTTTTATATTTTTATTATTAAGATTAATTTTTAAAAAATTTATTTTCAGTCAATGGTAAGTTTTTTGTATGAAAAATTAATTATGATAAATATCGTTAGTAAATTTATTAAAAAAAAGTTTTTTTGAGTTTAATATTAAGAAAATTTTTTTAATTTTTAAAAGATTTTGTGTAACTTAATTAAAAGAAAAAAATTATTTTTCTTTGAAATTTAATTGTAAGTAATTAAAAAAAAATAATTCAGAATTTGAAATCCATTCTTTTGCAGGGAAGGTATTATTATTTATTATAATATTTTTTTTTAAATAAAAAAAATGTTAAATTAAAATATAAAAAAAATAGTATTATTAAAAACATATTTTTATCATTAAAAATTTATTTAAAAAAAAAAAATTATTGAAAATTAAAAGTTAAAAATTTTTTACCGTTCCTTCAATGAATTTTTTTATTTATATTACATATAATCACTTATAATATCTGTTATTGTGACTGTCAGGCGGAATTATAAATTTTTCTGTCAAATTTGATAAAATTTCAATACAGGTTATCGACCAAACAATTACAAATAATACCGCTCTTTTTCCTAAACTATAAATGTCTCTAGCGCACTTATCCTAGTGAGATTTAGATTTGTGCGCGCGCATGTAAAAAGTTGTTTATTTTGTTACTGTAATAAAATGGCGACAGTGTTTGCTGTTTAGTCGTAGTGAAATAAGTACTCATACAATAATAACTGTTTTATTGTAAATATATTAATGTGACATGTATTTATTTAGTGAAAAACCATTACTCCTTATTTTGAGAAGTATTTTAAAAATTAATAATAATATATAAATCGATATATTTAGTTATTAAAGGGTTACGTGATCTGACAGCGTGTGCGTAATGGCCGATAATACTACTCCTTTGCCCAGGCGGCGTCAATTGGTAAACAAATGGCTGAAAATATTTGCCGACAATCGATTATTTTACTAAACATCAAATAAACAATTGACTTATAAACTGAATAATAATTATATGGCAATGTTGATTATTTTTTACAGAGAGAACGAACAAGAAAATTATATACTGACGACTTCACATATGGTGATGAAGAAATTGAGGGTAAAAGAACTTTTCAACTCGATGAAAAAATAGAATGTGAAAGATATGACCTTAAAAACTTTTCGGGACTTTTTCGTGAAATGACTGGACCAGAGCTAAATCTTGCTTATGTGCAAAAACATGGCTTAAATATTCCATTACTTTTTAGAGACAGTTCTGGACTCGGTTTAAGAGTTCCAAGTTCTAATTTTTCAATTAACGATGTTAGAACTTGTGTTGGTGAGTGATAATATTTTTATTATTTATTAATGTATCTTGATTACTTTGCAAATGTTTAATTCTTTAAAATATTATTAGTTAGAAAAATATTAAGGTTTTATGACATTAAAGTTAGCTGTCACTTTACAATTTTTTAATTTTATTTAATAAAAAAATTTGTTCCAAAAAATTATTTAAAAAAAATTGCATTTTTAATTTATTTTAAATTTCTACATGTCAATTTTTTTTTATAATTTTTTCTTGCGATAATTTATTTGTTATAAAATTCTTAAAATTATTAAATATGTGCTAGATTAATTTTCATTAAGGTTTTACTTTTAAACTATAAATAAAAAAATTGAAATTAAATTCCTTCATTAAATTTTAAAGTAAAATGTTTGATGCATAAATTTAATGAGCAATCAATTTTATTTATAGAATACTGATGACTTAGATAAATGAAATAACTTTTATAATTGTAGCATAAAAATTGAATATAAATTTATTGATATTACCTGTATAATGAATAAGTTTTTTATACAAGCAAATAAATAAATTTTTATTTCTTTTAGGATCAAAGAGAATATTAGAAGTTATGGATGTAGATACACAGAAAAACGAAGAAATGTCAATGAAAGATTGGCAAAAATATTATGAAGATCCAGAAAAAGAAAGATTACTCAATGTAATATCGTTAGAATTCAGTCATACAAAGCTGGAAAATTATGTTCAATCTCCGACAATAGTAAGGCGACTAGATTGGGTCGATACAGTTTGGCCGCAGCATTTAATAGAAGCACAAACTGAATCTACCAATGTACTAGGAGATATGATGTATCCAAAAGTAAAATTGTATTGTTTAATGTCAGTAAAAGGTTGTTATACTGATTTTCATGTTGATTTTGGTGGAACTAGTGTTTGGTATCATATTCTCAGAGGAAAAAAAGTATTTTGGTTGATTCCACCCACTGAAAAAAACTTAGACTTATATCAAGAATGGGTTTTAAGTGGCAAACAATCAGATGTGTTTTTTGGTGATATGGTTGATCGTTGTGGTCGGGTGTCCCTTGAAGCCGGTATGACTCTTTTTATTCCAACTGGTTGGATCCATGCAGTTTATACCCCAGCAGATTCTTTAGTATTTGGTGGTAATTTTTTACACAGTTTTGGGATTGAAAAACAACTCAAAGTTGCTCAAGTAGAGGAGCATACAAAAGTTCCTCAGAAATATCGGTACCCATTTTTTACAGAAATGCTTTGGTAAGAAATTCACTTTTATATTAAGGTAAAAGACCCAGTTATTGACACTGGTCTAGTTGATTGACACTTGCAATTTTATTCTAATTAAAAAAATAAAATGTTCTCAAAAAACCAATTATGAAAACCAATTGTTAGAGTCGATTTGTTTTATTTAATTAAAAGTAAAACTACAAGTGTCAATAACTGGGTCTTTTACTTTAGTTGTTAATTAATTTAAATTTATAATTCATATATGCTTTAATTATTTTATTTTAGGTATGTGTTAGAGCGTTATGTTCATGTGCTTTTGGGCCGTAGTCATTTAGACGTTCCAGAAGCTCATCGTCAGCATTCTTGGTACCGTTTATCACCACCGCAATATCATCAACATCTAACGCCGTTTGAATTACATGGGCTAAAATCAATAGTTATGTATTTACATTCGCTACCATCAACAAAAAAAAATGTACCAGAATTAATTCGTGATCCTGTAGCTTTAATTCATGACGTAAGAGGCCTAGTTGAGCAACACAGACACGATAATCCCGATGCAGCTATTACGGGTCATCCAATTTTACCGGCACCGCCACCTATGAGCATTGCTGAACGAGTAAATAATTTTTTTTTTAATATAATATTTTTTTATATATAATTACAAAGTATTTACAAGTATTTCTTCTTCTGTAGGAATTTCTTAAAGTACCTAAAAAACAATACCCGAAGATTCCAAAACTAGAAACCAAGTCAATGCCTCGAAGACGACGAACGAGGTGCAAAAAATGTGAGGCGTGTACCCGACAAGATTGTGGAGAATGTGTTTACTGTCAAGACATGGTTAAATTCGGTGGCAGTGGACGAGCTAAACAAACTTGTATCACTCGCCAGTGTTTGAGGCCAATGTTACCCGTAACTGCAGCTTGTAAGCTGTGTAAACTTGATGGTTGGGGACAGCAACCGGCACCATTAATGGGTAAATATTATTAATAATAATAGATTTTAGTTATATTGATGTAAAACAAATTATAAATTTGAATTTAGGCAAGCCAATATCTGGAGTGCCGTCGAGCTTGATGGAGTGCTCTATTTGTTTCGATATCGCTCATCCAGAGTGTTTAGGAGTTGAACTGCAAAAAGTAGTAGTTAGTGACGATGTACCCAACAGTTGGGAATGTCCGTCTTGTCTTCAAAGTGGCCGAAATCTAGATCACAGACCACGTCAGGTAAAGGCACGAATTCGCAAAGTATCGGTGTCTAGCGCTGCCTCATCTGCTCCGACGACTGATTCTGAAAGAGCTACGACACCAAGTAAAAGAGCAAGACCAGAGCCGACTGAGGTAACTTTAATTAATTAAATAGAAAATTAAAACACGTTTCTATTTGATAAATAATTTTTTTTTTTTTAATTTTAATCGGTCAGTGCAAAAATAATTTTTTTAACACAACAATGAAAGTCCTTATGATTATTTTTGTTCTACAAACAGTAAAAAGATTAAATTTATAATTGCTCAATAATGAAAGTATTTAAAATGTGGTTCAAAATAAAATATTTATTGCTCAGAAAATAATCAGAAAACTTGAATTATTTATTAACATAATAATAACAATAGTTATAAAATTTTAGACATGGAACGACCGTGAACCTGCTGAAGGTGATCAACGAACAGCTTTGAGGACTCAATTGGCTGCGCAATTGGTTGGTTCAAGCAATAAATCTCTAAAGAAACCTCACGTAGTTGTTAGACCCGTCCAGTTACCATTAGCTCAACGTTCTGAACCTAATAGTCAGTTGCCACCGATATATGATAGGACAGTACTTCTCGCCATATTTAAATTTTTAAATCCAAAAGATTTAGCAACGTGTGCTTTGGTTTGCCGGACTTGGGCGAGGTATAGTATTGATCCAATTCTTTGGCAGCATATGAATTTAACGCGGACACATCTAACTGCTGCACATTTGACTGGAATTGTTCGAAGACAACCTGCTAGTTTATGCTTAGACTGGACCAATATTGCTAAGAGACAATTAGCTTGGCTGTTAGGAAGACTTTCTCAACTTCGGCATCTATCACTGCAAGGTTGCAATTGGGCTACTGGTGTTTGTGCTCTGAAAACCTGTACATGTCCACCATTAACAAGCTTAGATCTCGGTTTTGTTTCTGGACTCAATGATTCAAGTGTTAGAGAGGTATTGAGTCCACCTCCTGATTCAAGACCAGGATTGATTGACAAGACTTCAAGATTGAAACACCTAAAAATTTTATCTCTCGCTGGTTGTAATATAACAGACGTAGCTTTGCGATACATTGCTCAACATCTGCCTCATCTAGAAAATCTGGATTTATCTTCATGTGGTAGAGTTACAGATGCTGGGGTCGCACAAATTGCTACTCCTCCTGCACAAGCCATTAATAATCTTGTATCTCTCAACTTGTCAGACTGTCGCCTTCTGACAGAAACTACTTTAGAACATTTAACTAGATGTAAAGCTATAAAACGGCTTGATCTTCGACATACTACTCAAGTATCTACTCAAAGTGTAATTAAATTTGCCGCACGAAGTATCCATAGTTTACATGTTACTGATGTTAAACTTGTTGAAGAAAAAAAAATAAAAGAGAAACCAAGAGAACGTGAGGTATATAAATAAAATTACAAAAGTCGTACCTGGAATAGTAATCAATCTAACATAAATGATATAAAGTCAGCAATAAATGCTAGTATTTTTCTCACAATATAATTAATACAATAATAATTTCAATAATTATAGATACTTTTATAATTTTTCATTGTTCGAAAAATACTGTTGTTTATTTTGTGTCAACTGAAAATTTTAATAGTTTTGAAACAGTCTGTTATGTGCAATCAAAAATAACAATATATTTTATTTTTATTATTGTCTTCCGAAAACTATTATTACTTTTGGGTACCCGTAAAAAGAAACAAAATTATTGGTAAGAAATTTTTCATTTGATTGGTTATATTATTAACTATTAACCAATAGTTAATCAACGGATTTTTATGAATAAATTACCTTTCTATATTGTTTAGTTTAAATATTATTGTAAGATACTTTAGTCTTTTATTAGTTTTGCGACAATAGTATTTAAAAAGAAAAAAAATTAATTGTGTATAGTTAATGTGCGATAATAATTGAATGAATTAAAAAAAATAGTATAACAAAACTAAAGTGATAAAAAAATAGAATTTCGCCGATGGTACAATTATTGTTGTATATAAAAATGTGTATTTAAAAATAATCGCATTTTCGAAAAGCTCACTATCATTCATACACTTTCTATTGAAACGTTTATCTTTTCATTTCATTGAAAAATTCATTTGAATAAATATTTTGGTAATTAATACCAATATTTATTTATTAGCTGCTAAAACTTAGTTTTTATTGAAGTGATTTAATTGTAAATAACCATTCAAACCCTATATTTAAGTAATTATTAACTTTATAAAAATAATTTGTATCATCACATAGTATAATAATTTTATTTTTAACGTGAAGTAACATTTAGTTATATATTATTTAAAAATTAATGGTATAGTAATATTTGCAATTATTTATATATGTGTATGCATGTCATTTTTAGCACTATCATTAATTTATGTGATTTAAAAAAAAATATAAACAACTACGGAACCATACGCATGATATTCTGGAAATTTTCATGCTAATTTAAAAGATAATAATTTTGCAATATTTATTACACATAAGAATGATGTAATGCCATTTAAAACAATATCTTACTTAATTTACATCACATTACCGCTGGATATTAAAATATAGTTTGTTTAAGTAAGTAATTAATTAAGTTAATATAACTTGTGTTTTAATTTTTCTAATAAATTTGTGAATTAATCATTTAATCATTCACCTCTTTTAAATTTAATATAGAAATTACAAATTTATCAGATAAAATTTATATAATTTGTTTAAATTTTTCATAGTTTTATGATTAGTAGTATTTAAATTGATTTAATGAAATAAGTTAAAAATATTTATATAAATATGAAATTAATGATCTCTATGTCGAATTAAAATATTTAAAATACATTTTTCATTTTATTTTTGTATAATTTCCTTATTAGAAAATTTTTATTGTAATAATTGCTTTGCATAAATTTTCCAACAGCTATGTTTCTTCATTAATATTTTATACTATTAACTATCAATTACTTTTTATAATAAAATAAATTTCTAACTCTGCAATGATGTATTCATAATTTCCCGCCGTTGCAAGAACAGTTGGCTACATTGTTTTTATTTATATATTTTGCACGATTCAAAATGCGAAGCATCAGAGAGTGCTTTACAATCGAAAAATTTTTTTGGCAACTATTTTTATTATTATGGCCTTGTTAGTTCACGGAATCAAGATATTTTGCATACTAATGTCTAAATAATTTAATGGAGATTAATTCCATACTTTTCAAAAATTTATTAAGTGCAATAGAAGCGGAAAAAAATATCAAAATTGATTAAAAAATTTTCCTGTATGTCATGTATGAAACCCTGAAAATACTGTAACTTGCAAAAAAATCCATCAATTAGGTCAAATTTTTTTTTTTAATTCTTAGAAAGAATTATAGGTGACTAAATACGAATGGTTGGGTAACTCGATTATTTGCAATTAATAAAATAAAAATTAATTTAGCAGATATTTAATCATTTTTAGAACTTTTATTAACAAATAAATTATAGCAAAAAAAAAATAAGAAAAAAAATTGACGTGTAGAAATTTAAAAAAATAAAAAGTGCAATTTTTTAAAAATAATTTTTTAGAATTAATTTAATTGTTAAATAAAATTAAAAATTTGTCAAGTGACAGCTAACTTTAATGTCATTAATTTTTCTAATAAATAAATTACTGCATAAAAAAACGGACATTTAGAAATTTTAATAAATTAAAAATGCAATTTTTTAAAAATAATTTTTTGGAACAAAACTTTTTGTTAAATAAAATTAAAAAATGGTCAAGTGACAGCTAACTTTAATAATGATAATAAAGTTAGCAGATATTTAATAATTTTTAGAATTTTTTTAACAAATAAATTATGGCAAAAAACATAAGAAAAAAAAATTGACATTTAGAAATAAAAAAAAATAAAAAATGCAATTTTTTCAAAATAATTTTTTAGAGTTAATTTAATTGTTAAATAAAATTAAAAATTTGTCAAGTGTCAGCTATATAACTTTAATGACATACTTTAATATCATAACTTAAAAACTGTATAACTATACATATTGTGTACATTTATCCCACTAGGGGCACCTGCGCATTATCGTCCTATTTCAGCTGTTTTATATTTTTTTTTTTTTTTACATTCGCTCTATTTCTAATTTTTTATCTTCATTTAGTTTTATATTTTATTATTATTCCCTAATTAAATAAGCGTTATGAGTCATGCACTTTTAGATTTTCCAAATTTTTTTTTTTTTACCTGCGCTGTATCGTTGGTAAGCTTAATTAGCCCTTTCAGGCAGTTTTGGTAGTTTTGGTAGAGCCGGCACGCGCCCCCTACTATTTTTCTTGCCCCCTCTTCACGAAATATCCTACAGTTTTCTTACTCTAAGACGAAGAAGACACTCGACACAAACTTAGAGTGGGAATTCAAGGTCAGCTACAAAAGGGCTAAAAATCAATAACACCTACTGAAATTGCGTGTAACGGTTGTCGGTTATAACAAAAACATTCTGGTGCGTACAAACAAACTTATCACAACATTCAACAAATTAAATTGTTTGATAGAAAAATATTAAAATGGCTTGGCTGTTGCTTTGCGACTGAAAGTTTGATCGATAATTAGAGAATGTAAGTAGTCAATTAATAATAAACAATATTCTAACCTAAAATAAAAAAAAATATAAGTTTGTTTAGTAATGTCCAATAATCTTTATTAAAAAATATCTTAGACTATCATAATAGCAAAAAAGGAAAAACAATAAACTTTATCCATCATTCAAATAAACTCATCATTTTGTCCACGTCAAATTCAAAAACGTATGTCAAATCTTATTTTATAATGATAGTTTATATAATTTATAAATAATGTGCATGTATAAGTGTGTTTTAAATAATTATAAATATTTTAGTTATTTTAAATGTATAATTATAATTAAAATAATATGATGACACATTCGAGTACCGGTCATAAGCCTGATGCAGGGGTTGTAGGAGAAATTTCTGGAAATTTCCGTACTCCTACTACTACGCCATTAGTTTAGTTGTCTGAACACTCCTTATAAGCCGGTCCTATTTTACCGTAGTCCACGCTGCACTCAAGTTATACAATGTTGTTTTGATTTTCAATTGATTAAAACGCTATATTAAGCTTGAAGAGTCATCAGTTGTTGAGTGAGAAATTTATTTAATTAATTATTACTAATTAAGTTCATAATTTTGGATTACGTGCTTTGATACTCCGAATAAAATATTCCTCTGCTAAAATATCCGCAAAGCCGTGTAATGTTTTTTAATATTATTAAAGTTAGCCGATGTTTCTAATTTTTGTATTTTTTTTTTTTTTCATTTATTAAATTGGGACAAAAAAATATTTTTTTAAATTGCACTTTAAGTTTTTTACAAATGAAAATTTTTTTGTAATAATTTTTTCAATAAAAAAAAATTATAACAATTTTTAGATGTCGGCTAACTTAATTTTCATTTGCTTAAATTAAAACACATTAATTTAAATATTTTGCTGCATAAATATTAAATCACAGTGATATTTTATAGAAGAAAAAAAAATTTGTCTAGTGATATTTTTTCACAGGGATATTTTTTCGGAAGACATTTTGTACTGCGACATGTTGCGAATATTTTACCGGGTGATGTTTTACTCGGTAATATTTCGTCCGTCGATATTAACATGTATTATCATAATTTTGATGAAAATTAAGTTAGCTGACATTTCAAAATTTTTAGAAATTTTTTATTGAAGAAATTTCAATTAAAAAATTAAAAAAAAAAATTTACTTGAAAAAAACTTTAAAAACTATGAGTGCAATTTTTTAAAAATATCTTTTTAGTTGTAATTTAATTAATAAGAAAAATTGAAAATTTTTAGACGTCTGCTAACTTTAGTTTTATATAATTTTGACAGTTCTAACAAAGGCTTATTCGGGGTGCTCTGGTACAAAACATAAAGGGATAGTTAATTTAAGTCGGGAAAGTTTTGTTGACTTAGTACAGTAAAATTTCGTTATGAGTCCGGTCGTATGGGTGGTAGCACACAGGTAGGGAGGGTGTATGGAAAACCTCCATATACGGTCTCACAAAGAGCGAACTCATAATATAATGCGTCGCATTAAAGGCGAATCGACTTTTACTGTAGAGTAAGGTGAATACGTTTATGAGGGGGACGCTTATGACGGGTGCTCGACTGTAAATAACTTTTAGTTGATAAGCAAATTAACCTAATTCAGCCAGTACTGAATCAAGATCTTCCTGCAGAGATAAACTTTCTTCTCTTTGTTTAGCTAAATCGTCTTTCAATCTATCAACTTGAGCTTTTAATAAATAGTTTCCTTTCTTCAATGAAGCTAAACGTCCTTCGTGTTTCTTTGCAATCGCCTAAAAAATAAAAAAATTAAATTTTCATTTTAAAATATCAATCTAAAGACTTGAACCAACAAAAATGAAATTAAAAAAAAAAATAAACCTGTAGTTTAGTCTTTCGATCTTCTGAATCAGCTGTTTCATCATCAATTTCTGATTCCTCGTCTTCTTCAGACTCTTCAGACTCTGATTCTTCTTCAGATTCACTTTCTTCTTCTACTTCTTCCTCTTCTTTTTCATCTCCATCTTCTTCGTCAGTATCAGCCATCAACTTAGCCATTTTATCAACTTCTTTTTGAAGTGATTTGTACTTTTTCTTTTCTTCTTTTAATAATTTTAACTGTTGTTTAATTTGTTCTTTCAATGCATGTCTCTCCTTTTTAGAATTGTCTTCTTTATCTCTGCAATATTAAAAGTAATGTTATTTTTACCTCCATTGAATTAATAGATAATTATATTTAATTAACCATAAAAAATTTACTTGAAATTTTTAATTTTAGTTGCTAATAATTTAATTTCTCTTAATGCTCTCCGTTCAGCAACAGCTTCCGGATCTTCATCCTCGTCTTCTTCCTCAGAACTTTCTTCCTCTTCTTCTTCCTCCGATTCACTCGGAGTCTTCTCTGCCTTTTCGATACTTTTTTGTGAAGCAATCTTTGCTACATCTTTGGCACTTGGACATCCAGCTAATGCCATTCCTGAAACATTATACCACGTTGCTTCCGATTCTGGTGGGAATTCTACTATGGGTTCAGGTTCAACTTGTTCCCAATCCCAATAATAGTCTGTTTGCGAGGTTGAAAAAAAATTAAGCGAAATTAGTTGAAGCAAGCGTTAGTATAAGCGATAAGTTATCAGCATGAGCGCAATTAATAGCAATTAAAAAACTTAATTTATTAAAAACTACTTACCAGCCTTCATACGTTTTTCTAATACAGCATACATTTTTTTTAAATCTTCTAATTCAAGTTTTGTCCTATCTCTTTCTTCTGCAACTACTGAAAATTCTTTTTCTACTTTCTCAACATCTTTTCGCGCTTGGTCTACTTCATTTTTCAATGATTCTACTATTTTTTCGTCCTGCTTTTTGTACTCGGTTACATTTTGTTGCAATTTCAATCTTTCATTCTCTGCTTCCAAATTTAAAAGTCTTGCCTGAAATTAATTGTAAATTTATTTCAATTGTAAATAATTTACATGATTTTATCAATTGAATATCAAGCATTCTATCTCTAATTGGCCGCATAAAAATTTAAAAACAATATTTTCATTAATAATTCACGAGATTTTAAGAAATCATGGTAACACCTCTCTCTAAATGATTGTTTACGGTGACTGATGAAAAATAAAATGTATTTCACAATTATTCCATTTTTTTAGTCATGGAACAAAAGAAAGTGTATCATAAAAAAATTTATGTTTGTGAAGCAATTCATTGTATTTTTATACAAAGTATTTAACCCAACAATTTAATTATTCATATTTAAATATGGGTGCACAGAAAAAAAAATTTAATTGATTCAAGAGAAAAATTCTTGAATCAAGTCAAATTTACTTAAACCAAGAAAAATTTCTTAGTTTAAAAATTTTTCTACTCAAATCAAAAAAATTAAGTTCTTCAAAATTATATACTTGATTCAAGTAATTTTTTTTTTCTGTGTGGAATTATAACAAATAGCTTTTCAAAACCAAACTTTTATGTCATACATGAACTTTTACTTCATGACTTGATCTGATAATTAAAATGGAAATATTACATTTGTTATATAGCATATCTAATTCTACCTGTAGCCTCTTGTTATCTCTTTCCAATGCCTCTTTATTTCTCAGTTCCAATGCAAGCATCTGTTTAGTGCTTTGCAAGTCATCTCTTACTGCGTCAATATCATCCATTTCATCGGGTACAGCATCATCGACAGGTGCAGTATCTGCTTTGTGCATCTGTTCTTCAATAGTTAATTGCCGTCTAAATTTCCTCAATCCCGCCAACACTGGTCTTGATCGATCATTTGTCTTTACACTCTTCAACTTAACCCCCGACTGAATCTGCTGCAGCAATTTATTATGCATATTTGATTTTTCTGATTCAAAAACAAAGTGTGCGTTTCCTGTAAAAATCCATAATTTTATTTTTATCTCTATTATAAAACAATTTTTTTATTTCAGAAATTAAATAATACCTGGATCGGCAGTAACTTTGCTAACTCTCTCAATGATTGGAGCACTTCTGTCGTTACAATTGACATGCTTAAGCTTTTTACCACTCTCGAGTTCTTTCATCATACAAGCCCAATCAGGACGTTTTCTTGGCCTCGATTTAAGCATTTCCAATTTTTCCTGCTGCGTTTTCGTAAGCTCGGGTAAATCTTTCAATACTACCCGAGCAGGAGGTGGTGGTGGAGGTCGTGGCGGTGGAGGCGGTGGTATCGCCGCCCTTGATGAACTTTTTGATAATGTCGGTGCACCTAAGTCCATAACAATACACGAATAAACAAACGACAAACAAATCAATAAATTAAACTAATTAACAGGGTCGGTGTGAAATAAATATACTGACAATGAGGACAGTTACGATCGAAATAACTCAATTTGCTCACTGTGCTCTGATTCCAATAAATTTTATCTCGTATCGTTAATTACAATCGAAAAAACAATTTTAATTTTAACAATTTAAATATTATAAATATTCTCACCTGTTGAACTTTCACTTTTAGAAAGAGGAACTCTGTTGTCACTACGCGATTGAGATTTTTCAACGCGAATCTGCCTTTCAAGCTGAGGTTTCGAAGACGGTGTCTCCGTACGCGATTCATTCTTCTGTCCGAGTTTAGGACCCGTTGATGTTTTACTTCTTTCATTCTCACTCTGTTTGACGTTTGATGTTGCTAGTTTACTAGTTGCATTCTTATCGCTTTTAGGTTGCGTTGGCACGATAGTTATTTTACTTAGCTTTTTTGGTTGAGGCTCTGCTGGTTGTTTTTGTGGTGCCGCAGCGTCTGCCGGTTTCGCTACACTCTGAGGAAAATTTTGAATAATAATTATTAGGACACGTATATTCACATAGCAAAAAAGTCCTGATAATCTACGCCCTTACATTCACGCGGTGAATTTATAAGGACTTTTTTACGTATCGATAATCACTTAATTATTATTTTTAATATTATTACTAAGGTAAAAACTCCAATTATTGACACTATAAGAGATAAAGTTATAATTTGATTTTTTTTAAGTAATCAAATATCAATATCGCTGAATTTTGTTTGTGGTAATGTCTCAAACAATGTTTTTACTAATTAATTTCATTTTTTAAAATGATAATCAGTGATATTTACTAATTAATTTTAAATCATTAAATATAGTATCCAGATATGTATATCAATTTATTGACAAGTTAAAAAATATAATTAGATGAAGAAATCTATTTAAACTCGGCATTTAAAAAAAATGCTTTTCTGGCTTGATGAACTGGTGCAAACTTTATTTTTTTTAATAATTAATATTTAATACTTTGAACTGACAGTAATTTTTTTTCAATTTTTTAATTGATTAGAAATTAATTAAAATTGATATGATAGTTATTCTTATTACAGATGAATTTAATACATTTAAAAATAATTTAGGGTGACAATATTTAGACCCCTGTCAATAATTGGGGCTTTTACCTTAGTGCTATTTTTTTGATGTTTTGATTAAAAGGCTTTATTGTAAAATAAAAAAATATTTATTCGCTTAACTAATTTAATATTTAAACTGCTACGTTTAACTGTTCGTATTGGATTATCTAAATTATCACTAGTCCATCTAAAGGTTATTTCTTTTGGTTCATCCGAACTGGAACCAGCGATATCCATTGTAATTTATTATTTCAATAATCGAATTTATTAAATGCCGTCTCTTCAAAATTAAAACCACTAATGATCTATCTTAGATTAAAGTAATCTTTAAAAAATAATTTGGCGTCATTTTATTTTCTTTAAATAATACTTAAATATATACTTAAGTGTATATTAAAATAATTGCATGATTAATTATGACACCAATTATTTGTCATCATATAATTATATTTTTAAATTTTATTTATTATTTATAATTTAACAAATACAATAGTTACTAATACCGTGTGTTTTTGTACAATCATGTCAGTTCCAGACGTGCATTCGTTGTTTAAAATTTCTATTTTTATCAACTTAACCATCATCATTTAAAAATATATTTAAAAAATAGATCATTTACATTCGCAAGGATTTATGTGAATTATTATCATTACTTTTTTTTTATTTAAAAATAAAATTATGTGTCGCAATTTATTAATATTTTATGAGTTGTCGTAATAGTTTACGTAAATTTATTAGATTAATTATTTCTTAATAATTTATCTTGATAAAAAAAAATGTATCATGCAGAAAAATTGAATCTAAAAGTTTTAAACGATAATTATAATGAAAAATGAAAACATATTAAATTACTCAGTTTATACAAATAACGAAGAGGAAGAGATACACTCTCAAAGACATTTGAAATCGAGGCGTGTGCTTGAAATAATCATGACCCAGAGGCATATATATACGAGCCACTTTTCACTTTACATCTTAAGACGTTGTCTCGGTGCTTAGCTTTGAATCTTTTACCCCTCACTGTCTCTTTTTCCGTCTCTTAATGTAATGAAAATAACCTAATCTATCATTTATTTATAAGCATACATGTATACACTGATTTATGTTTCGATATTTTAAAAATACATTTTAATATTATTTTTTTTTTTGTTTATTAAATTTTTTTTTCAATATAATTTTTAAAAACATATTTTCAATTGTGGCACTGTGCCATAAAATTAAATAAAATGTTAACAGATTTTTAATCAATGTTATATTTGATTTTATTGCACCTAATAAAGATTAAATTAACATTTGCCATTGAAAAAAAAAAAAAAAATGAATTATTAAAATAAATTTGTTAAATTTATTTAAAAGATATCGTCATATTTATTTTAAAAAAAGTTAAAAATTTTGTCAACTAAATTGAATACAAATAAAAATTATATGTAAGAAAAGATGAATCTTATGTGAAATAGTTTTATAAAAATTTAATAATAATAAATAAATAATTACTTTTAGTGTGACTTTAGTGAATGCCGGTGCATCTTCACTACTTGTCTTAGATTCTCTTCTAGAATTAAGTGCCCACGGTGCTGAGGGCATTGGTAGTGGATTTGGTCCATCCTTGACCCACGGCGGTCTAAATGTTGTTCTCTGAGGTTGCTGACCTCCCGCACCCGGCATCGTTTTTCTCGTGGCTTTTTGCCCTCCTATTTTATTTTTCTTCTTTAAATATCACCTTGCGTTAACTAAATACTTGTCTTCTTAGCTTTAAAACCAAATTCAATCCTGAAGATTCAAATAATCACTAATTTAAAAAAAGACTAAATTATATTTGTTTATTTAATAAAATTTACTCAATAACTTCTGGGATCATGATTCCAAAAATAAATTATACTTATTTTAGAATACGAATTTTAAATATAATTATAATTATAATATTAATATAAAATATTTAAAATGAAGAAAGAGATACAAGAGTTTAAACTCGTGATAGCTTTAACACTGGTTAGCGCACTGGTTAGCTTGCCTACACTGAATTTATTATTTGGTGGTTTGCTTGGAAAATTGTAGTTTTCTCAAGTCAGGAAAGATCGAGACCTGGACTTCTCGCCAGGGCCGTGACTAAGTTACCTCCTCCTCCTTATGTTGCGGCCAAAAACTTTATATTTTCGGAGTATGACGTCACGAAATCAGAGTACAAAAATAGCTGATCGACGTCTTCTAGGACGCCATCACAAACTTCTCATATCTACGATTATTATCTTTTGCTTAATTCCTTAGTTTCTATTCTTCTTTTTAATAACTATTCAATCTCTCTAATTACTTTCTATCCTTGCTTTTACTAATTTTTATCCATTCGCTTAGTTGTAATTTATTTTTAGTTATTATTATTAGTATATATAAAAATAATAAGATGTCAAATAATAAATTTATACTAATTAAATTTATATTTTTTATTTAGGTCACTATCTGAAAAAAGATATCAATTAGCAGCTCACAAACGAAATATATCAGATCAAAAATTCAATTACTACAATCAAACTGCCCAATATTTTGAGCGAGAATCTCAAAAGACCAAACAGTTCAATACCTGGAACGTTGATGTAAAGTCAATTCGTTGGGACAATAAAAAAAAAGCAGAAACACTCAACTCAAGACGTAATAAACTCCAAGTGCTCTTAAGAAACGAAGAACAAGCATATAAACGAGAGTGTGATCAATTAAAAGCACGTAACGTTACAAAAGACAAGATACCATTGGAGGTGCTAGAAGAAAAATTAAAAGAAAAACGCGCTGAATTGAGCTTGTATAATCCTAATATTCATCGCCGATTAAAATCGTATTTTACTAATCCTGCTGAAACAGAACGTGTCGATTCGAAATTACAAAATACCGCAGAGCCAATCACTCGTAATCTATCCCGATTGTCTTTTGATAATTCAAATTATTTAAAAAAAAGAAGATCAGACTCGCCATTTAAAAACAATTGTAATACTCCTTATAATTATAAATCATCACTAATGGATTACTCTAATGAACAAAATGAAAAAGCGTTTGACGAAAGAGCAGATGCTTTCGCTGAAAATCGGGATTATGCAACGTCCGATCGAATGGATTACTCGAAAAAAGATCCCGCTTTTGTGCCTGATAGAAAATTTAAAGAACGTTACGCTCACAGAAGTCTTGAAAATACAAATGTTTTTGATACTGCTGGGCATACACATGACATTTATGAACAACAAGCCATGACCGACAAGACATCAGTTGTGGAGGCTTCCGATGACGGTATGCATGATAAAAGTAATTTGGAAAATCAAGAAGGAAACGACTCAGTTGATTTCATTTCGAGTGAAAACGTTGACAATCAAGAAAGTAATCCCAGTGGAGAAATGGATGATTCAAAGGAAACTGCGTCTGACTACCCGGAACAACAGGAAGGTCCCCTGACGACGATCACTAATTCTTCAGATATGATGGTATTGTATCTTATGTACAATGATTTGCAGAAGAAAATTGAAGACCTTGAGGTAAAAGAAAGTCGTGCATGTTTGAAACATCTTTGGGAAGAGACTCTGCGCTTGAGAGACATGCGAAACCGTTTGGAGCTTTTGAGGGAGAAAAAAATTTATCAACGACGTGATTTGCATATTGATCCGTCAAGCAAGGAAGCAGCATTAAACAATATTGAGAAACGTAGTATTCAGCTTAAAAAACGCGAAGATACATGTGCTGATTCAAAGATGTACAGGTAATTTTTATATCATATTATCTTATGTTTATTTTATTGATGCATGACATACGTTTGTAAAAATAAGTCAAGCGGATAATTATTATGAGCTACGATACATGACCGTTTAAGCAATGCCAAGGGTTTTTGATGATGTCGTAACAGTGAATCACTCGCGATTCAATGTGTGCATGTAGTCTATACTTTGATTAATGTTTCTCGTGCCAAAATTATTCAAAAATACCTTGATGAAATGCGACTGAAAGCCAGTTTCTCTTGTTTTTAATGTAACTTGCATTTTTTATTACTAGCAATCTTGCAGTCACTGCGTGACTGCCGTGACTTGTGAACTATAAAGAAATAAAATTTTGCATTATTAAATAATGACTTGTGTTAAATTGCACTGTGCTTTTTTAATTATTGACGTTTTTAAAGGAATAAGCTCATTCCGATGTTACACTCATCAAGAGCTTTCATTTGAGTACCCACATGCATGTTGATATATTTTTCATATATACATATTTATGATATATATAAATATATAGAATATATGAAAAATTGATGTGGGTACTCAAATGAAAGGTCTCGATGAGTGTAACATCGGGATAAGCTTATATCTTTAAAAATGTCATTAGTTGACAAGATACAAGTTCATTTCTTAATTATTGATATTTTTAAGGATATAAGCTCATTCTGATGTAACATTCATCAAGAGCTTTCATTTGAGTACCCACATGCATTTTGATATATTTTTCATATATACATATATATGATATATATATAAATATATGAAAAATTGATGTGGGTAATCAAATGAAAGGTCTTGTTGAGTGTAATCTCGGGATAAGCTTATATCTTTAAAAATGTCATTAGCTGACAAGATACAAGTTCATTTCTTAATTATTGATATTTTTAAGGATATAAGTTCATTCTGATGTTACACTTGTGAAGAGCTTTCATTTGAGTACCCACATGCATTTTGATATATTTTTCATATATACATATATATGATATATATAAATATATGCAAAATTGATGTGGGTACTCAAATGAAAGGTCTTGATGAGCTTAATATTGGGATGAGCTTATATCTTTAAAAATGTCAATAGTTCACGACATACAAGGTAATTTCTTAATTATGTATCTAGAGACAGCATTTTCGAATGTAGCCTAAATACTTATCATCATAAATTGACTATTGGTGAGACATGACATGAAATCTTGAAAAGGCACAACTCCAGGTCAAGACTTTTCCAAAGATACCAAATTTAACCATAAAAACCCATTTTATCATATAAATACACTGACCACAAAATTTTGCTTATTCTATTAATAATACAGATATTATAATGTCGCTTGTAACTTTTTTTATTATTATCTTCTTTTTATTTGATTTTTTTTTGTACGATCACTTATTATTAACGGAAACAAAAAAACAACTTTGTTTTTATTAAAAATAATAAATAGATATGTATAATGTTTGTTATAGATATATTTTTAAAAAATAATTAATAAATTTTTTTAATTTTTAATTTCAGTGAAGACGCTAAACGTATTTGGGAAAAGTGGATCGCTGAAGATAAAAAATCACCAATCTTAGAAGGTGACAACTTGAGAAAAGCTTTAATGAACCAGTTAGCCGATGAATGGGAGTCATTGGGTGAAAACGACAAGAAGATTATTTCTCAAAGTTACGCTGAAGTAATGAAAAATGCTTCATTGGAAATAGAATTTGATATTATGGCCAGAAAAGGATTTCATTAAACATTAAAAACTTTTTTTTTTCATTGAATTTTGTGTTATTTTTAAGATCAGTAATTTTTTTAATTTTACTGACAATGCAATTTAATCAATTATTGCTTATTAACTTATAAGCCATGTTAAGGCTATTTAATTTCTTATGCTTATGAATATTAAAAAAAGTATACAACATTTTTTCATTTTCAAATTGATTTACGAATTGAATCAAAAAAAGGTTGTTCACTTTTTGTGTGTTGAATAGTTTATTCATTTTAAATTACAGCTTAACTATCATAAAGTGCTAAAAACTTTGAAATAACAATACTTAACTAAATTAAGGGTTAGTAACCACAGCTCTTAACAAACATGATTAATGTGTCAAAATACTCGAATCGATAAATGAATTTTTTACATAATAGTGCTTTATGAGTGATTTAATGGATGTTCGTTTTTATAAAATAGAATGTTTTTAAATTTTATTACACTTGAATATAAATTTTTTTATTGTATCTGTCCGACAATGCATTTATGTTAAAACAAATATGAGAGATATGTATAACCCATACTTTGTAACCAGTATGCAAAATTAAATGTTAGTGCTTATTATGCAGAGAGTATTTCTTTAAAGACTAAGGACATTCTAATTATTATATAATTATTATTCAAGTTTCCTAAAATTAACAATAATAATAACAATTTTTGTGTAAAAGTTAAGAGTATCTCAAGTTAGAAAGTTATTTTTCTATAACAAATATTTTTTGAAAATATCTAAATTATTAAATGAGAAGAAATATAAGTAAGCATAAATTGTATTACAATTGAAGTTTCATGCATTTTCTGTTATGTTTATTTTTTAAATGACACTTAAATTGGCAGACATTTTAATTTGCTGGAATTTTATTTAACAAAAAATTATTTTCAAATAATTGAACTTAAAACATTTTACAATTAAGACACTGAAGTTGATGGACATAACAAATTTTTTAGAATTTTATAGCAATTAAATTATTATGAAAAAAAAAATTTAAGAAAAAATTATGACACTGAAATTAAAAGACATCTAATAATTAAAAAAAAATTTTTAACAAATTAATTTATCATAAAAAAAATTAATTAAAAAATATCACATTTCAGAGCTTTTAAAAATTATAAATGAAATTTTTTTTAAATAATTTTTTACACCTTGTTTATTTTTCAAGAAAAATAAAAAAATCGTCAAGTGTCTGCTAATTTCTGTGTCATAAAAAATTCCACATATGGAAATTAAAAAAAATCTATTAATGAAAATTTTTAGAAGCATTTTTTTTTATCATTGATTTGTTAAAAAAATTAAAAAAATTGATAGTTGTCAGCTGACTTCAGTATCATTTTGCAATTTCTGTATGTGGAATTTTTTTATTACTATAATTTATTATGAAAATTAAGTTAGCCGATATTATTAAATTAAAAAAATTATTACAAAAAAAAATAAGAAAAAAAATTTCATTTGTAAAAATCTTAAAAAACTTTGAGTGCAATTTTTTAAAAATATTTTTTTGTTCCAATTTAATTAATGGAAAAAAAAAAAAAAAAATTAAAAACGTCGGCTAACTTTAGTATTATTAATTTATTTATCAAATTAAAAAAAATTAACAAATGTCCCAATTTCAGAATCATATTTTTTAATTTTTTGAAATGTGTCATACTTGAATACCGATGTTAAGAACATTAATAATTTACCTTACCGACATAAGTTAAATAGAGAGGTCTCACATTTAAATTCCGAAAAAAGCAACAAACTATAAATAGCGAACTAACCTATCAAATGTAAAAAATTATAAAGTTTTTGTTATATTTGCATAAAATGTCTTAATTAAAATAGACAATAAATTAATTTCAAAATGTGGTCGTTGGTGCATCCAAATGGAACAGTTGTGTATATAACTTTACAAAAAAAAGAAATTCAAATTGGTCGTAATCCATCTTCTGATTTGTGTTTAACATCTGATCAAACAATAAGTCGACACCATGCTAAAATAACTGTTTACCAAAACACCAAAAATAGCCGGAATTACTCTGAAAATAGCAGTACGGATAATTCGATTTGTGAAATAACAGATCAAGGATCGAGATATTCAACGTATGTTATCAGAGATACGGAGATAAAATTAATACCGTCGCAACCTTTTCAATTAAATCCAGGTGATAAAATAAAATTTAGTAGCAATAAGAATATCTGGACATTAAATTATACTAAAATAGGTATTGTAAGTTGTGGTCATGACCATGATAATAAAAAAAACTTAGTTAAAGCTATTGAAGATATCGGTGGTACAGTCTTCAATGAATGTAATAGCAAATGTACACATTATTTATCTATGTGCAATAGAATAACACCTAAATTTATATTAGCAGTTATTGATGGGCTGCCGATTACTGACAAAAAATATTGGGACTACTTTCTACATTCTGTTAAACAAAATATTGAATTGCCTGAAGTTGAAGATTACATAATAACAAATGCTTGCCTTCCAGAAGAATTTAAAGATGCACCATTGTACCCAACAGACGATAGGAGAAGAATATTCGATGGTTATAATTTTATATTTTTTTCAACTAAACAATGTAATAATTATGGACTTATTATTAAAGCTGCTGGCGGTAAATCATTCTTGTATCATAAGTTTACATTTGATACAGAAGATCTGTTGGAACCAAACATGATTATAATTGAATATTATCCGAATAAAGAGGATCAAAATTTAAAATTAATTAGTGATAAAGAGTATTACGCTCTGCAGATAACTCTCAGGGAAAAAAATAGAAGGATGGTTCGTTGTGTAGAAATATTGGGTGCTATTTTATTCTGCTCTACCAAAAAATACTGCAATTCTATAATAAAAGTTCATAATCGATTTTGGAATGATTCACCACAAAAGAAACGAAAAACAGTACAAAAAATGGTAAAAATAAATCAAGATCAGAGAAAAGGTGCGCTTGATCATATTCGTCAGAAAAAAAATCAACCTGTTTCTGAAAAAGTAATTGATGCTCAAGTAAATGTTCCTCAAAAAAAGCTAGAATTTCGTCTAGAGTTAGCTCGATGTGATGATACCCCAGTTAGTGAAAATAGATGGGTTGATGTTAAAGCTTCCCAAAAAGTTAGGCAAAAATCTCAGGCGATGTCGACAATTGATATCAAAAGATCAGGCAAGTATGAATATTATGTGATTTAAATTTATACAATCGAATATTTACAAATTTTTTAAGAATAAAAACTTGAAACTATTTATTTATTCATTTGAACGCCAATCGGTATTATACAATAATTAATATATTTAATTAAGTCTAGATCAGGCTTAAGATCTACTAGACTATTAAGTAACACGAAAACATAAAAAAAACTATGTCTATCATGGACCTAAAAACAGAATATTGAACCTAGTTAATAAATATAGCTCAGACATCGATTTCTTCATGGACTCAGTCTTAAGATTCACCTCCAAAGTCAAGGAATTAGTATTAATTTCAATAATTTATTATTACATATTTACTGGCCATTAAATCATTTATAATAATCTTAAGTACTAAATAATTTATGTAAATTGCCGATTGGCGTTTATTCTAATAAATAAATAAATAAATTTCGTAAATTGTAATATATAAATTATAAATTTTAAATTCTGAAATTTTGGTTCGAAAATTAAAAAAAAAAAAAATAATCAATTTATTTGGCGATGCCTACTTAAAAAAAAATTAAAAAATTAAAAATAAATTTTCAGACGTAAACAAAATTAAGAAACTTAATGGTCAAACTAATCAGCAAAACGAATGTGGAAAGTCGTCAAGTGAAAATGTTTTAAAAAATCCAAAGGAGGCTGATATAAAATTATCGAAAAGTAAAGAAGATATTGGGACACAGAATAAAACACGTAAGTTTGATAAAAAAAATTATTGTAATACTAGAAACTCATTTAAAATTTATAATTTTTAGATCGACATAAAAATAAAGAGTCAAATCTTGCGAGTTATAGCAAAACTGGAAGTGGAAAGCCATCAACAAGAGCTACTTCGGAACATTCTGAAAAATTATCAACAGCTGAGCTATCAAAATTGAAGAAAAAAAGTAATTTTGGTTAATAAACAACATTAAAAATTTTGATTTTTTGTAATAACAAAAATTTGCTTAAATTAAACAAAAAATGTATTAATAATAAAACAACTAATTTTAGATTTAAATCAGGAGGACAACTCGGTTGTTCAAAACCACAGTGATGATGAAAATGAAAAATCATCTGCTAATGATATTTCGACCGTTCAAAAAGATTCTAGGAATGAAATATCAAAAGATATCGAAGATGAAAAATTAGAAAAGAAACGTAAGTTGAGTAAAAAGAAAAGTTTTCTTTTTGAGCGATACTGAACCTTCTTCAATATATGTAAATTTAATTAACTTAACACTAACAAGAGAACCTTCGAATATGCTGTAAGGCTATTGATATTACGTTTTTTTCGTTCAGTACGAAAAATATGTTTTTAAGTCGATATATTTATTGTTCATATACACTTGAAAATTCAAAAAAAAAACTATTATAGAGTAGTTTAGATATTTTACTACTTAAATTTAAAATATTTTTTTTTTTTACATTCAGTATTATATAAATAAGATGTTTTCTTTTCAAAGTCATTAAAAAATAGAAAAACAGTAAAGGGTGGATTTTTCATAGTATATGGCTATTTATTTAACATTGGCTAGGAGCTACATGTATTTTTATTTTGAATATTAATTTTTTAGTTAAGTTATTTGATTAAGTAAGGTAAAAACCCAGTTATTGACACTTGCAATTTTATTTTAATTAAAAAAAATAAATCAACTTTAATAAATTAATAAATATAATTTTTGAATTATAAATTTCAAGATAATTATTTTTTTGACATTTTATTTTTTTAATTAAAATAAAATTACAAGTGTCAATAACTGGGTTTATCTTATACATTTTTTTTTTTTTTCAATTATTTCTACATTTACTTTCATCATATCGTTATTCAATTATGTAAGAACGTGTCAATGTTTAGATGTTATTCCATAAAACCAATTATTTATTTATTAAAACACTTCCGTTCGTTCAAATTTAAAAATTTTTTTGTACGTTTTTAAAACATATACACATAATAAAAAATCAAGTTTTAATTTCAAAATTATCACAGTGCTCGTACATCCTTAATTAGTTTAATTTTGATTTATTAAATAAATTTTGTTTGAGTTTGCTCTAAGTGGATAGCTAATATTCCAGGATCAATTATGCTGATTAGTTTAAAAGAGCTCATTTATTTATTTTTTAATAAAATACAATTGATACAAACTAATACCATAAAAAATGAAATTAATTATCATAACCGCAATCTAAATTATATTATTTAAAACTGTGATTCTATTAAAATAATTATTCTAATTTATTTAGAAATTTTATTTAATTGTAATTAGTTCGTAATGGTGAAAAATTAAATGATAAAAAGGCCTTACTTCAATTAATTGAGTTTATAACAATTATTTTATATATTTATAAACTGATTAAAAACTTTGAAATGTATGGATGGTGTTGAAAAATAATCGAAATTAATTTAAAACTTATGATTTTTATATCTAGTTCCAAGTACACAGTCGCGTGCAGAAGTTCGTCGTAAAAAGAGATTTGAAGATATTTTGGGTGTTTTAGATGTATCCAAGAAAATATCATCGAAAGACCAAAATGGTGACAAAAATAATCAAGATATTTTAGATAATACGCAATCTAAAAAAGGTATGATCTTACTTAAGTTATTCATTTTGTAGACGTTAATTATTCAATACTATTTTAATCTATAATTGCTTGTAAAAATGATGATTTGCAAGGATTTTTTTTTTAATTTTTAGATTGCAGCCAAAGTAGTAAAGGTATAAAAATTATAAGTAATGTGCCAGTCGAGATACCAAATAAAAATTTTTCACAAGCTGTAGTTGCCTCTGATCTAAAGGAGAGTAATAAAAAAGTTGAAACATTTAATGAAAAAAGTAAGTTAGTGCAAACATGGGATATTTATAATCTTAATAAATTTTTTTTACACGATTTAAATCTTATAAAAAATTTTGAATGATAAAGATTTTTAAAATTCATGAGAGCTAATGAAAACTAATCGATTGTAATGAAAAAATTCATAACTTTCAGATCTTGATCAGTCTAAAGAATCTTCAGAAAGTAAAGGAAAGTTGAATAGGAAACGCAAGCTAGATGAAAAAGAAACTAGTCAAGTTCCTGATAAATTTATTAAAATACTTAAACCTGTTGAAGAAAAACCTATTGAAATCATTTCGTTGTCAGATGATTCTTTTCATAACAATAGTCAGCTTTTGGATCATGATTATTTTGAAACAAACAAAAAATATGAAGATTCTACAGAATTTAGTGAAATTCCCTCGGCACATTCTCCAAAGTGTTCGTCTAACAACACTGAAATCAACAATCAAGTTAATCCTGAGTTAGAGTTTCCGAATGATGTCATTCCTCCAATTCTAGAAGAATTTGATGATAATCAAGTGTCGGAAGCGATTGAGAGAACAATTATTAGTGATCAAGAATATGAAAACCTTGAGGATGATGATGTTAATTTAATTAACCCTCTGATAATTAGTACTCAAAATGAAAATGTAGAAAATGATCAACAATCTAGTCGAATGGATTTTCTAGAGTTTCAAGAGCAACAAGATGATTGCGATATCTCGAATGCTGATGTTCATACGAATTCTAACTTATATGCTGCTGATGTTTATAGGAATTCTGACTCATCTTCTGCTGATGAAGATTTAGAGCCTGTTTTTCTGACAACTCAGGATATTCGCAGTCTAGTTAGAGAAAATTCTATCAAACCTAATTATAAAGTCGATAATTGCAAAACATCATTCTCAAATAAATTACCTGGTTTTTTTTTTCAATAATAAAAAATAAAATTAGTCAATTCAATATAATTCTTAAAAAAATTAAAAATTTATAATATTGGTCTTATAAATTTGACTTATAAATTTATTATTAGTAAAATATAGTTTTATAGATGAATAAAGCTTAAGATATTTTTTATAAAATCAATTGGTATTTTTATATTAATCAATACCATGTGATAAGACTGATTATTGAATTACAAAAAAATATATTAAGTAGTGAAAAATTTTCATTTTTTATCTATTAAAAAAAATAATTACTTTCATTCTATTTTAATTTTTCAACTCGGATAATTATGGATGCGACTGTCTTTCAAAATCGTATGGTTTGAAACCGTTATCATCAACAACAACTGCTAATAAGTGACTCCTCAAATGATAACAAAAACTTTTACCAGGAAATTTATTTTACTAACCCAAGTTAATATCCCCATTTTTGTTAGATTTTATGGATCAGTTTTTTTTAGCGGTTCTTGCGCTATTCGTCACTTTGGCTAACGAAATTGAAAGTTTTATGTGCAACTTCTATTTATTTATTTATTAATTTTTTATTTATTGTAATTTAAATGCCAAGGCATTAAAGCCAAATAGCAAAAAGTAAAATACATAGAATTATGTTTCACATAAGTAATAAAATTAAGATTAGAAATATTTGCTTAAATATAAAAATTTTGTATTATTTATAAATAATATACTTTAAATTTAAAGTATATCTTAACTAAATATAATAATTAAGTACATTCAGAAAGAGTAGCATGTTTACAATTTTAAATATCTTAATATACACATTTTTATGCTTTACCAGTATTTTACAGTAATTTAAATAGAAATCTAGCTAATCTTAATTTAAAAGAAAATCGAATAGCTTCGATTTAAATAATTCTAAGCTAAGAGAATTTGGGATTTCAGGTGGCAAATCTTGCCAGAACCTGATAGCATTTACTGCTAGTAAACAGCTGGATAGTAAAATTAGTTGTTCGTTCTTCCAAAAACAATTATCAGATACTATTTTAATTTACCGATAAAGATTATAAGAATGAAAGTCAATAGTATTTTATCTTACAAAAATCTTGAGCTAATAGAAAAATAATCAGATCGATTGTCGAGTTTTTTACTTGAACCCATGCAGCAGATAAATTGATTGACAGGAAAACTTTTTTATTTGATTTTCGAATGTCTTCTCATGAACTGTTAAAATTATCAGACATAAATTTGGAAATTTATCACTTGATATAAGTGCACTTTTTTTTTATAAACTATTATTATTATTTTCATTTATTTAGTTAATTAGAGTGCGTTTATAAGTTACATAAAAACCTTTGATACACTGGCAATGATTCGGTGTGTAAAATTTATAATTCTTACAATTTTTGAATATATTAATTATGAAATGTTTAAAATTAATAATAGACATTTTTTGGCTACAAAATGCAATATTTGTCATGTGTTATGATGTTGGAACATTCCTGTACATAGCTATATGTAGTCTTTGGGAGCTGGAAAATGAGTGGTCGTGAAGAATTGTTATCAGATTAAAACTGTGACTATTTTCTGAGTCCGGCTTAAGTATGAGTTGACGTGGAGTTGCAAAACGCGGGCAGTCTAGCAAGAAGTGCCAGATTGTCTTAGAATCCGGATTGTGGCAGAAACGACACTGTTCTTTAGGCCTTAAGTTTAAAGGTTTACCATTTATTGATAAATTGCATGAAAAAAAGTTATGACATTAAAGTTAGCTGTCACTTGACAAATTTTTTATTTTATTTAACAATTAAATTAATTCTAAAAAATTATTATTAAAAAATTGCATTTTTAATTTTTCAAAATTTCTACATGTTAATTTTTTTCATCTAATTTTTTTTTGCTATAATTTATTGGTTCAAAAAATTTTTAAAATTAATAAATATCGGGTAAATTAACTTCCGTGAAAAAATGACATTAAAGTTAGCTGTCACTTGACAAATTTTTTATTTTATTTAACAATTAAATTAATTCTAAAAAATTATTATTAAAAAATTGCAATTTTAATTTTTCAAAATTTCTACATGTCAATTTTTTTCATCTATTTTTTTTTTGCTATAATTTATTTGTTGAAAAAATTTTTAAAATTAATAAATATCGGCTAAGTTAACTTCCGTGAAAAAGTTTGCTAGTTTGAGTTGTATTTTGGTGAGAAGCAGTTTCTGTGGGCAGTTTTGTAAGTAAACTGGAGTTGAATAACGAATAATTAAAAAAATAATAATAGACATTTTTAAAGAAGAAATTAAAGAAATGCATTGGAATTTTAGTGTGCAAAATGCAAAGCTCGAGAATGTCACGGTGTCAAAGACATTGATGATGATGATGGTGATGGTGATGGTGAGCAAAGTCCTTTTACTAATGTAATATAATATGAGCGGAGAATGGAAGAGAAATAAAAGGGGGTTGAGAAATAAAAGAAGAAAATGATGGGATGGTTGAGTAGCATACGTTTGTCATGCCCGGGACATGTTATTAGCCATCAGGAAGGTTTCATTTAGGTCGTGCAGCCGTTCCTTGGTTATATTCACAGCTACTTCTATGGCCTACCTCTTGTTTTCTTTTTCGTTTTCTTTTACCCTTACCTTCCAACTCTCATTCATTATTCTGCGCTGTCTTCTCTTCTATTCCCTTCTTCATCTGCTGAAATGGTTTTTGTCCCTTTCCGAGTACTCTAGGGCTATGCAGGAGCTAGTAATGCATTTAATTAACATAGTTGGCGCGGCAACATCCCTCATCTTGCGGTCTCTCCACCAGTCAACTTTCACGGACTATTGCGCGCTCATTCTACTCTCTATAAAATACACATGCATATATTAACTAAAAGACAACACCACCCGTTTATTATATCCGTTAAATTAAACTAATAATATTTTTTTTTGTTTTTTGATAACCCTTCTCAACTTGCTTTCAAATATGACTATAAAAACTGAGTTTTTTTCTTCTATTATTTATCTTCATTACCTTTTTTAAAAAATTATTCAAACTTTGGCTAAATATCAATAATAATAATAATAATATCAATAATTTGATTTAAACAGAAAAAAAAATTTTGCTTGCAGAAATCTCACACAGTCATAACATTTTTTATTCAAAATGAAATTATAACACTTGAGGAAGAAAGGAAATTTGTAATCCGGAAACGTCGTCAGAGAAGGATATACTAGTGATGATTTTTTTTTTACAAATTTATATCGGTAATAGATTTAGTTTACCTGGAGCGTTATACTTCTTATCTATGATTCTCGCTGAAAACTTGATAAGACATCGATTATTCATAATTTCATCAGCTAGATACAATTACACTGAAATTAAACTCAAAAATTGAATCACCAATTTTTATTTAAGAAAATATGTTTTTTTCTTTTGATTTTATGATAAGATACAGATCATATACACTGATAGAGGGATTTATTTGTATTAAAAAATATTTGTTAACAGTTAACAACTCATTCACCAAAGACCACTTTTTAGTATTAAATAAATATTTCTTAGTATTTAACATGATTTTTTTGTATTTAATAAATCTGTTATTCATTTATTAAATATTAATAAATCTTTTTAAATACTAACAAATATTTGTTAAGGACTAACAAGTGGTCTCTAATAAATGATTTGTTAAATATTAACAAATATTTTTAACTATAAACAAATCCTTCTATCTAATCAGTGTACAAGGAGTAAAGTTATATAACGGAATAACATAATAATCATTTCAGTTTAAATTATATGGGTAAATTATCAATTGAAAGTTGGAGGATTTATGTTTATTTATTGAAAGAATAAAACCTAGCTATTACATAGTTAGTTAGTTATGAGTTTTATTTGTATCACATTTATGCGTTTTACAAAAATACTATAAATGTTAAATATTACATATTACATACATTAATATTTTTCTTACAAGCTAAAGTCACCACATTTATATTACATTTTACATATTTAGCTATTACATATTTACATCATTAGAAAAAAATAAAGGAACCTAAAAATTTCGAAAACTTTTAATGATTTTTTGAAATTTAAAATTTTAGGAAAGACGGTCGTAATGAGATATAAAAATTTTTAATTAATTAATTAAATAAACTCCATTCACTTTTCATCATTTAGAAAAATACATTACATTTTTTGTATATGTATAGGTGTACCTCAAAATTATATGAAAAAAGATTATGTGTGAAAGAAATTAGTCACAATTCTTGATTTTCAAAATTAAAAAATAGTCTTTTTTTTTTTAACTAAAATTATTTTAATTTTCCGTTGAAAAAAATCTGAAAAACGGTCGACCGGCAGGCTATCTCTGGAACTCCGATTTTTTCGAACTTGAAAAGCTCGAAAACCTTCCTATTGGTTAATTTTTGAGCTCTCCGAGCGATAAATAACAAAAAATATTGTGCGTTATTCATTAGCTAAGAGAAGATTCAACAATGTTGATTTTACGATATTTGCTTTAAAGTTTGTGACGGTAATTTACGAAAACGGGTGTAAATTCGTGCCACAAATCTCAGACTCTATTTTCTAAAAAATCAAACACCACACTGATAAAAAATTCAACTTGGCTCAAGAGCAAAAATCTTGAGTCAAGAACACCATTTTGAAGAAAATGAATTTCTTGCAAGAAGCAAGAAGAAAAATCTTTAAACCAAGAAAATTTTCTCGACTCAAGAATTTTTCCTCTTGACTCAAGAACTTTTCCTCTTGGCTCAAGAAATTCATTTTCTTCAAAATGGTATTCTTGGTTCAAGATTCTTGCTCTTGAGTTAAATTAAATTTTTTATCAGTGCATTGTCTGATTCTTTTATATATTTTTTTTTATTATTACAAAAAAAAAATATCTTCATTTATAATTCTATATTTAAAATCTCCACAGTTAAAATATAAAACGATAAAAAAATAATTAAAATTCTATAATGAAGTAATTTCAGAAATAAAATTTTCCTCGTTGCAACGTAAAAAAGTCTCCGGAAGTAGAAAAAAAAATTTGTCACAGTACCC